GTGTGTGTGTGTGTGTGTGTGTGTGTGTGTGTGTGTGTGTGTGTGTGTGTGTGTGTGTGTGTGTGTTCTGTTAGTGTTGACATCTGTCAGCGAGCCTGATGAGACTGAAAGCCTCTGACCTGGTGACCTGACAGGTCTGCATCTCATCACATCCATCTCTGCTGCTCCKAGCTGCACCTCCACAAAGGCTGTAACCAGAAACTTCTAGTCTCGTGGCAACGTCCCTGTAAACAGCAGGGAAGTTTCTCCTGCTGGCCCAGGCACTGACCTCTCCCTAATTTATCATCCTCATTGTCAAAACGAGTAAATGAGCCACTTTTGTCCTTTCCTTACATCCCAAACTGCCCCATTAACACAAGGCGCAAGCGCCTCTCAGATATTTTACTAACAGAAGACAGCAGGTGTAAAGGCATTAAAGGAATTGGCTCAGTCTTCATCTGACAGCATCATAAACAACAGGATCAGTTCAGACACTCGGAGATTAAATCACCCGCAGCTTTCTCATGCAACAACAGAAACAGATCAAACACTCACAGTGCATGAGGAGAAGAAGCACAGGGAGGCACAGGGACGTCCTCTCCATTGTCCACAACTCTGAAGAGTCTTCAGGACGCAGCGAGGAGGCAGATCCTTCAGATCACACTTGTTCTCAACTCCACGACCGTTCATCCAGCATCCAGGTACTTAAAGTGCTGTCCAGACAAGAGGAGGAGTGAGGGGGGGGAGAGAGGGAGAAGCGGAGCGACCGGACCAGACCGCGACAGGCAGGCGTGGAGGGGGAGGTGTCCGGGCGGAGACGCGTCGGGGCTGGGAATGGCGAGCGTCGGTCACGGGCACAGCCGCGGATCGGTGTCCTCTTTTCTTTGCTTTCAGAGCTGGTCGAGAGACCGAGCGGAGAGGAGATATGTGAGAGAGGGAGAGAGGGAGGAGCAGAGCGGCGGAGCGCCAAGTGCGCAGCGCAGCGCCGCGTCCAACAGGCGCACTGCAGCGCCAAGTGGCTTCACAAGCACCAGATAACAACATCTGACCAGTTTTACTCGAGTTAGAAACCCCAAAATAATTATAATAATAAAAACTTTCTGAAAAAGTGCAAAAGTTATATAAAGATCTTGAACAGTGAAATTCCTGGTTACAAAATACAAAGTGAATAAATCTTTAAAGAAACAAGAACCCACACGGGAAGAAGGATGAGAATTTGACCATAGGTACACAAAACTAAGTTTTGTCCTGTAATCAGCATCACATGTATCCAGGTAGACACAGGGGTGTTTGGTATCATGGTGTGTGACACAAAGCTGAGAACAGAGCGTCTGGGGCAGGGGCGGGGCCACAGGGGGGTTGGCCCCAGCTGAAATCTGACTGRCCCCCTGARGTGCCCTTTATCTGGGAGTGATGATGRTGATGATGRTGGTGGGTGCAGTTCCATGTTCAAACACTAGTTGTGCTAACGAGTCCAATAATAAAGTCCAGAATGAATCAAGCTGACAGAATTCTTCTTCTCTTCTTAAGAAAATTTGAACAATCCTGAAAAAAAAGTCTTTCAACTGACAAATGATGGCCAAGTATTTGGAAAAAAAACGGACAGGTTAGTCCTTTTTTTTTTACCTTAATTAATGCATAACAAACACCTATTAATATTTATAAAGTATTTACAGATTAATTAATAACCTTTAAACTCTTTAAAAGCCATCTATAACGGGAGCCTTATTGTAAAGTGGTATCCTTTAAAAAAAAATTACATTACATTACAAGTGTTTGAACACGTATGACTGGTTAAATGTACACACCTCACCAAAACTGGGGATTTGTGTGAAAAAGGATGTTGAATAAAGACTTGGCCCCTCTATGAATATTGTGGCCCCTTGATGGCCCCTCACTCAGAAAAATCCTAGATCCGCCACTGGTCTCAGGAGCTTAGAAAGACTAGACCAAGATGTTAAAAGAAAAGATTGTAAAACTGTCTCCATGCAGCTGTATGTTCCTGGGAATACAGCTGCTCAGATTACTCAGAAGTTTCACAAGACTGATGAAAACGTTCCTGGGTGTGACCACGAAACAAAAGCTTGTTGATGAATTGAAGAGATGGATAACACTAACTGCAACCAAAGAGTCCAGAACTGTTTTAGAGAAAGGTGAAGTCCAAAGTCAAGGTGCATCAGAGTCAGACTGAAAAGTCGATTTGAGSCAAAGTGGACTGAATGGAAGACGACCGAGGAGGACACGAAATCATAAAACAGCCAGACCGGAATTTGAAACATTTGAAAATGCACATTTAGAAGCCACAAGGCTTCTAGAAATGAGACAAATCTGGAGCTTTTTGTCCACAAGTCCCATCAGTTCTTTGTTCAAAAAGCCAGAAATGAAAGATACAAAGAAAAGAACCCTGAGAACCAGAGGAGACTTGGTTCTGTTCTGGGGCTGCAGAGCGTGAYGGAATCTCAAGACTATCAAGGCATTCTGGAGTGAAATGTTCTGCCTATGGTCAAAAAGCTCTGTCTCCGTCACAGAGCATGTCMTCTAACAGTAATGAGCCAAAAACAGTTAGAATGGCTTCCAAGACCTGATCTGAAGCTGAACATGTATGAGATCAGCTGAAACATTTGGAGAAGGACCCTTTTAAACCTGAGACAGCTGGAGCAGTTTGCTTACACTGCAAAAACTGTCCACCTAACCAAGTTTTAAAATCTTATTTCCAGCCAAAAAGTCTTCTTGATCTTGCTTTGAGAC